CCCTTTGCCCAACCCCTCCAGCCAGGACGCCCCTTCTGCCGCCGTCGCCAGCTTCTTGTACGGCATCTCCCTGCCCTCCCAGCTCGACCTCAAGCAAGAGGTGCCCTCCGGCCTGCCAGGTCCCAACGCGGCCGCCGAGCCCCTGCTGCCCCGGCCGGCGGGAGAGCTGAAGGTGCCTTCCTCACAGGAGTACAGCGACTGCTGTGGTAATAGCCTGGGGTTTGCTGGCAGAACTGGGGGTGCTGGTGCCAAGCCCACCCCCCCGGCGCTGACAGGGGACAGGCCCCGGGTGTTTTGGCAGCCCCTTGGATGAGTGAGGGGGAATGAGGGTTGAGGGAGGTGATCCCAGGGCTGGAGCAGCTCTGGAGACAGGGTGAGGGAGTTGGGGAGTTCAGCCTGGAGAAGAGAAGGCTCCAAGGAGACCTTAGAGCAGCTTCCAGTGCCTGAAGGGGCTCCAGGAAAGCTGGGGAGGGGCTTGGGACAAGGGCAGGGAGGGAGAGGACAAGGGGGAAGGGATTGAAACTGGAAGAGGGGAGATTGAGGTGAGACATGAGGAGGAAATTCTTTGCTGAGAGGGTGGTGAGAGCCTGGCCCAGGTTGCCCAGGGAAGCTGTGGCTGCCCCATCCCTGGCAGTGTTGAAGGGCAGGTTGGATGGGGCTTGGAGCAGCCTGGGCTGGTGGGAGGTGTCCCTGCCCATGCAGGGGGGTTGAAACCTGATGATTTTTCAGGTCCCTTCCAGCCCAAACTGATCTGTGATTCTATGAAAATCATTGCAAGGTTTGGCCTGCAGGGAGATGAGCAGAACCCCCCTGACATGCTGCACCAGCCCAGCCCTTCCCCCAGTGCCTTAGAGGTGCCAAGGGGCACATCTCCATTCCTGCCCTGAAAGGCTGGGCACTGTCCCATGAGGCTGGGGGGGCAGTGGGGGAGATGGGGGGGTTGTTCTGGCCAGGACCCCGCTGGGGTGTCACAGGCAGGGGGGCACAGAGGAGGGCAAGCAGGGTTGGGTCAGTGTCGCTGGCGGCGGACGGGACCCTGGGGCTTCTTCAGGTGTCAGGCTCTCATCAACCCTTTTTCCTTGTCTCCCCTCTTGTCCAGGACAGAAATCGTTGGCCTCTGGAGGTCCCCTCATCCAGAACGTGCACTCATCCAAGCGCATTCTCTTCTCCATTGTCCATGACAAGACAGGTCTGTGTCCTGCTCTGGCACTGGAGGCAGCTGGCAGCCTTAGGGAGAGGTTTCCAACCCTGGCCTGTCTCTCCCAGTCACCCCTGTGCTCTGTGGGGACCTGGCAGTGCTGGGGGATGTGGTTTTTTTCCTGCAACATGACAGCTTCATCCCCACTTGGGTCCATCCCTGCCATCTCCATGATGCTTGGTCCTGGAGCACTGCCCATAAGCTGGGAATTTCCACCCCTCTGCTCTGGGTGAGGCCGAGCTGCAAACAGCAATGCCTGCACACAGCTTGGTGGGGTTTCAAAATACCTGCAAACCCACTAACCCTGCTGTGATTCTGCAGCACTGCCCGGGGGGGATTAGCAACGGGGAGGAGACTCTGCCATTTCCCCACCTCCACCCCACCCAAGGGATATGCAGCCTAAAAATGCTGACACGTTCACTGCAAAACCCTCGCCTGCCTGCATCAAAAAAAACCCAACAAGATGGGTGGGAAAGTTGGGAAAGAGAAGGAGATGAAAAAATCTCTGTGAAATGGCCGTGCCTTTCCAAGGTTTGTTTCAGGTTGAGTTTGCTCTGTCCCGAGAGGTCTTTCATTTCAGTGTTGAGAAGTTTTATGGGGTCGTTCCTTAGGAATCTGCTCTGCAGATGAACAGGCTACAGAGGAGGTTGCTTGGGGCTGGGGTTGGGGCTGGGGAAGCCCAGCCCTTATCTGCCAGCCTGGCAAGATCTGCTCAGGAAGAGGAAAAAACCAGTCTTTTTAAAGCAGCAAAGTCTTGGTCCCGTTTCCCAGCACAAGAAAAGTGCATCTGCTGTGTACAAACCATATGGAAGTGCCTTATTTCTTATATTTTGTTTTGATAGATAAGTGGGACAGTTTTATAAAAGAAACTGAAGATATCAACACCCTTAGGGAGTGCGTGCAAATTCTGTTTAACAGCAGATATGGTGAGTAGGAGTTAATATCCCATTATGCATCTGCAGCGTTTGTGGTTTGCATATCATTATACAGCAATCATTTTTGTTCCCTAACACAGCAGCAGAAGCCATATGCTAGAGCTCCCTTCTCTTCCTCACACATTTTAGCCCAGCAGCTCCCAAGTCTCTGGGTGTCTGCTGAAGGTTATGTCAATATTTCCATTCGGAGCCCCCTCCCTCACTTAAGGAGTTCCTAACTGGGCTATAAACCAGCCCCAGTTTGAAGTTGGCACACAGAACACCCGGGCACCCAGGGGAAAAGGTGGCTTGTGGCTGGTTTAAATTAACATGGCAGGGGAGAAGGAAGGTGGTTGTTATTGCAGCTGCTTTTTTTCCCCCCCCATTGCACAGCTCTTGGGCACCTTTGGTGTTCCCCTTGCCACGGGCACTGGTTTTGGGTTAGTTTCTGGGCTTTTGGGCAGCTGTAAGCTCAGGAAACTGGTCAGGAATGGGTTGATGGGGCTGGAGGTTGCTGCCTGGACCATCCTCATCAGGCTGTGGAGTTAATAAGATATAGGTGGGCTATAGGTGAGCTCTGTAACTCAGATCCAGTCTATGTGCTGTGCAGCTCCTGAGTTAATTAGCAACCTGCTGCCATCAACACCAGCAACGAGGCTGCTCAAGTGTTCCAAATAGACTTGAACTGGGAACATAAGGGTGAACTCTTTAGCTTGATGGGCCCATGACACATGGGAAGGTTGGGGACAGCATGATACTGGAACAGGTTGCCCAGGGAAGGTTGTGGCTGCTCCCTCCCTGGAGGTGTTCGAGGGCAGGTTGGATGAGGCTTGTGCAGCCTGGGCTGGTGTCCCAGCTCATAGCAAGGAGGTTGGAAGCTGGTGGTGTTTAAGGTCCCTTCCAACCTTCACCATTCTGTGATTCCATGTCCCTGGTTTGAGTATCACAGGGTGTGTTTGAGGGCTGGGAGATGCCACCAGCTGTGTTTGCTGTGTGATCTCCCCGTTGTCCCACATCCCAGCGATGAGCCGCTCCCAGGGCTCACCTTCTGGAGACAGCAAGGGAGAAGAGGGCAGGAGGCACTTTGACTTCAAGCCTTCACACCTTCATTTTATCCTCTGTCCAAGGAAAAGCTTGTGTTGAAGTGAAACCATGTGTTCACCTTCCAGCTGAAGCCTTGGGGTTGGACCACATGGTCCCCGTCCCCTACCGGAAAATCGCCTGCGACCCCGAGGCCGTGGAGATCATTGGCATCCCAGACAAAATACCCTTCAAAAGGCCTTGCACTTATGGTGTCCCCAAACTCAAGAGGATACTGGAGGAGAGGCACAACATCCATTTTGTCATCAAAAGGTGGGTGATGAGGAGGGCAAGGGGAGGGTGCATGGCCTCGAGGGTTTAAGCCCTGTTCCCTCCATCCTCACATGGTTTGTTTTGATGCCCAAAACTCATTCTACCCTTTTTTTATGAAAGAGCTCAACAGTTCTTTTATTCCCCCCCAAACCCTCCATTTTCCATTTCTCTCCCCCTTTTTGCAAGGATGTGGCCATGGCATGATCCCCCCCTGTTGGAAGTCCATGCAGACATTGCCAGTGCCACCCTGAAACAGGATGGCAGCACAGCTCTCCCCAGGGGCACTTGGTGGATGGGAGTGGTTCCTCCAGGGAAGGAGGAACACCCAGATTCACACCACATGGGGATTCCCCTCCATCTGGTTTTGTGGTGATTACTTATGGACATCCTATATATACGATGATGAGGATGTATCACCTATGGGCAAGGTGTTGTGTCTTCTTCATGTCTGCATTTGTGCTGGAGTAGGAGTGAACGTTTTCCTGGTTATCTCTGTACCATCCAACCTCTCTTTGCTGCTCCATCAGGAAAATCTGCTTTGTAATATATTTATTTATTCAGCCTGTGCAGTGCTGGTGATGTTGCCCTGCTAGAAGTGTGAAACTAGTGTAGAAAAAGCCTGGCTAAGGCTCCCAGAGGGGCTAGAGTCCCCTCAATCAACAGGACTTAAGCATCCTAAAAGGATTTAGCTTTCCAGATGTCATCTGGTTGCTTTGTCCTGCACTTCCAGGCTGGATCAAGACCTGGAACATGCCCCTGAACACACTTTGCTCCCATGAGCACCAAAATAAGATCTTCAGGAGACAGGTGACCTCTGGGCGATGATCTAGGTCAGGAAGTGAAGGTCCAACAACAGCTACTCCAGTCCCATTGTCTCTTTTGGTAAAGCCAGCCTATAGCAGCCTCATTTAATAAGTAAATTTAATTAGCTGAATGACTTATAAGCAGATTTAAAGGTGCTTTAGTTAAAAAGCAGGTGCTGTACGATTGCTTGGTTGCACAACAGGCTGAAAGTCTTTTTTTTTAGCTGAAAAATTCATTCCCTTTTTTTCAGAGAACGAATCAAATTACTATTTTGACTTGGGTTTGATGCTATTCATTAATAAAACCTAAAATTCAGCCATCAGAAGCCCCTATTGCTAATCCTTTTCTTTTCCTTTCCTCCCAGGATGTTTGACGAGAGAATTTTTACAGGTACGTTCTCCACCTCCTATGATTTATTGCCCACAAAATGGGAAGATTATCCAGAGAAGCAGAGTTGAAATAATGTCACCTGTAGGCAGCAGGAGTGCAGGACATGTACAGTTCTGCTCAGTGAGGGGAAACCTTGGCTGTGCCCTCCACGCAGGCATGCTGGGACTGCCTGTGCTGGGGGTTGCTGTGGGCACTTTATGACCCTTAAATAGTGTTTTGAAGGTTTAAACTAGAATTCCCTGGTGTGTGTGTGCACTGGGCTGAGCTGCAGCTACAGGCAGCACATGGCATGTTCCTGTGCTTTCAGGAGGAAGAAAAATCACTGCTGGGTTCCTCACTGGCAAATTGTTATCCCTTTTTTTTTTCTTCTGGCACCATCCAGCTGCTTTTACCAGGAAAACAACACAAATCCTTTTTTTTTCAGTGACAAAACCCTAGGGAGAGGGTTTCTTTGGCTGCCTTTTTGCCCTGTGTTTTCACTCCTTTTTGGTTGGAGCTGGAGAAGCCAGGCTGAGCCCATCTTGGCAAACAAAAAGAGAGAGGTACTGGTGCTGTCCAAACCCATCCCACTGCCCTGACACCCACCTGAAGGATGGCACTGCACCCAAATTTATCAGCACCCAGCCCTGCTCCTTGAGTACCTGGGCTTGGCTCACAAGTAAAGATGTGTTTTGGGGTGGTTGTTGGTTTTTTTTTTTTGCTTGGTTTGGTTTTTTCCCCAAGCCCCAACCCCAAAGGCTGGTGGCTTTCCAAGCACCTTCTCCTCAGATATCTCACCCACCCAAATTAACCCCCAGCTCCCCAGCCCCAAGGGTGCTCCTTGGGGACAACGATTCCAGAGCCACCCAAAGGGAACCTCCAGCAGAGCCTGGAAGGTGTCCCACCTCCTTGCAAGGGTTTCTTTGTCTTCAGACCCATTAATGAGGGGTTTTTTTTCCAGAAAAGGATTTTTTTAAGCTCTAACCACCCCTGAGGGATGGAGCACTGAGCTGGGTCTTGGGATGCTTGGATTTTCCTGGCAAATCCATCATGGCTGCACAGTTATCTTGGGGGGGAGGCATCTCCTGGGTCTGTACATTGGCCTGATGGAAAGAAGTTCAGGGGTGACACAAGTGGAAATAAAGAGATGAGGAAGCAAACCCAGCAGAACTGGGGCAGGTAGCCCTTCACCCTCCCCTGCCTGGTCCTTGCAGGGCTACCAGGAGCAAAACACATCCAACCTGCCTTTTTTTTTTTGGGATCTGCATCAGCCCATCTGACTGTGCAAAAAAGAAAAGAAAAAAAAGCAGCATCTGCTGAGTCAGGAGGTGCCATTTTTGCAAAGATGCTATTTTCTGAGTGGAGCTGTATTTTAAGTAGCCAACTGTGAAGTATCCCAAAGCTTCCCTGTGCAGTTTTGCTCACCCTTTAATTAAAATACCCACCACTGCTAGGAAACCTATTTTTGCTACTCCCCTGGGTAGCAGCTTCAGGCAGGCGTTGCTGCTGCACCAACAGGATTTGGTCCATAGAAAGCACAAATTAAAAGGAGCCTTTTGGACTGTCAGTAGATAAATAGGGTCTTTTAGGCTCCGTGTTGCTGCTGGTCCCATTGCCAGAGCCCTGCCCTTCCCTGCAGGCTGGGGCTGAAAGGAAAAAGGCTTCACATTCCCACACTGGGATGTGTTTTGGAAGGGTGGGGATGTCTCGATGGCACTTGGAGACCAGCAAAAGACCTTTGGCAGCAGCTCTTTAAGGAGACACCTCTGTGGTTTCTGCAGCCTCGGGGTGTCATTTCATTCCCTCCTTCCCCCAGCACTAATCCCTCAGCAATTCCTGCTCACCTCCCCCTGCCCGATTTTCATTTCCTACCCTGCCTTCAAATCACTCTTTTCATCTCCAAGGTCAGCGTCAAGGCTTTTGTTTCAGAGCCTTCCCAGGTTGCTGAGGAGCAGGGAAGGGAGAGGGGAGGTTTTTCCTGGTGCCAGGATGCAATTGTCCCCTCCCTGCATTGCTGCAGCTGGGATCTCTCCTGCGTGTGGAGCTGGGTGCTGTGGGACAGGGCTCCCCTGCCACTGCTGCTCCAGGCTTTGCTCAAGTCCCATCCTCTCCCATGGGACCAGGATCTCCCCACTTTGGGCTTTGCTCCATGGCTTCAGCCATGCCTGGCTTTCCTGACCCCAATCCCAACCTCTTGGCCAACCCTGTCCCAGCAACAAGCCCTTTCCAGAGGTGCTGGATCCCTGGCAGGGCTTCCCAAGCACACGCTGGGTTACTCAGAGGGTTAAGCAAGCACCTTGCTATTGTTTTCACACGTACACCCAATAAAATTCACCCCCATCTCTTTGCCAACAGGTGGCTCTTGAAAACCTGTCCCTGACCCCAACCTCAGCTCTGGGACTTGGTGGGGGGGTGTAACAAATAGAGGTGGAAAATCTGCATCATGGGCATCTCTGGTTGCTAATTCTGGTTTTTCTTTTCCTCCCTCCCTGCCCACCTGGCACCAGGAAGCAAATTTACCAAAGATCCAACCAAGCTGGAGCCCTCCAGCCCCCCCGGGGAGATCTCCCCCGAGCCCCGTGGGGCTGTGCTGGACCTGGCAGGGACCTCCCAGGCCAACAGCAGGTAAGTGACACTTCTGTTCCCTGCCCACCACACTGTGAGTGACATCCCTCTTCTTTGGGGCTGTTAATGTGCCCAGCAGGTTATTGCTGTGTTGCTGTTAAAAGCCTCCCTAAAATCCCTCTCTGGTGGTACAACTGGCCAGCACAGGAGGAGACCAAGCACCCCCCATCCTTTTGCAAGCCAAAATAGCCAAGTTTGGAGTCACTGATTTTGTGTAAAACCACCTTGAAATCAAGGGCTGTGCCCAGGCAGGCTGGGATAATCTGCAGGAATGATCACTGGTGTTAAGCATGGCCTAAGGATTCACCCTCAGCCCTAACACAACACCCTGCTAATTAAGTGTTACTTGTTTATAAAGCTCCCAGGGAACCTAATAGCAGATTAACAGGCACTTTAATGAAGGTTATAAGAGCTCAGCAGGGCAGGAGGGTTTTTCTGAGAGTACCTGTTTCTGGTGCAACCATGTCACCAGCTGGACTGGTCCTGTGGAGTGTATAGCACTGCTTTGCAACCCCTGCTGGGAGGTGCAGAAGGGATTTTCCTCTGTGGAGCCCCAGTTTCCTTCACTTCTGCTTCAGCTGGTCAAAAGCAATGTAATATTTAGCCCCAGAATTTATCTTTAAAATCACTTTTAATAGGAGAAGCAGGGCAATAGTTCATAGCAGTGTATATTTATATAAAACTGGTTCTTATGGGCTTTGGGGTTGTCAGGGCCACGATGATGAAGGGAGTGGAACATCTCCCTGCTGAGGAAAGGCTGAGGGAGCTGGGGCTGTTGGGCTTGGAGAAGAGGAGACTGAGGGGCCACCTCATCCATGGGCACAAATCTGTTCAGGGCAGTGTCAGGAGGGCAGAGCCAGGCTTTGTGCAGTGATGTCCAGTGACAGGACAAGGGGCAGTGGGTGCAAACTGGAGCCCAGGAGGTTCCATGTGAATGTCAGGAAGAACTTCTTTGCTGTGAGAGTGCCAGAGCCCTGGGCCAGGCTGCCCAGAGAGGCTGTGGAGTCTCCTTCTCTGGAGACATTCCAACCCCCCTGGCCACGTTCCTGTGTGATGTGCTCTGGGTGCCCCTGCTCTGGCAGGGGGGTTGGGCTGGGGGAGCTTTCTAGGTCCCTTCCAACCCCTGGGATTCTGTGATGCTGTGATAACTTCTGCAGGGGGTTGGGAAGATGGGGTAACTTGTAACTTCTCACAGAAACCACCCCTTCAGCCTCCACCAAACCCTTGCCATGCAATCCTGATAGAAGGTGTCCCCCCAAAAGCTGTGCTGGTGAAGCAGAGCGACGGCACCATCCATGCTGGAGTGGGGCAGGTGGAGTCACTCTAGCACCTTTCAGCAGCACTGAGCTCAGTGTGCCAGGTGGGGCAGCCCTTTCCAGCCCTTTTAAATGGTTTAAAAAACCATTTTAAACACCCCACGAGGGCCTGGTTCTCTTCCCCATGATGCAGGGACTCCAGATGAGAACCTTGGCAGAAATGTCCACAGTGGCAACTGGGCTGGGCTGGGTCCAGGCCTGAGTGACTTCATGTTGTTACAGGAGCCTCCACCAGAAGAGGAATTAAACTTGAATCTCCAAGAGCTTAGCCACAAACCCATTTTTCTGCCATTTTTTGCTGTCTGCACCTTGCGGAATTGCTGTGTGTCTGCAGGCACTTAGACTTGGGGAGCAGCAGAGAGTCTGATGTGTGCTGGAACCCAGGGGAAGTGGTGATGCTCAAATACCTCTGAAGATGCTGTAGGGCTGAAACCTGGCCCAGGGCTTCTCGTTTTCCCCTTCATTTGTTAACAGTTGCTATTAGGACACTTACATTTTTGCAACAGAAGATCCCACTGTGCAGTTAAATCGATGTGGCTGGAAACAAGGAGGTGGGAGGATGGGATGTTAGGGATGATGAGCTGATTTCTGCAAAGCAATAGGTAGAAAACCAGCCACAATGTGTCTGTGGGAGAGTGGCAGGGTGGGAGCTGAGGTTTGCTGCTGCAGACCTCTGGGGGTGGTTGGAGACTCCTGGTCCCCATGCTGCTGTCACCAGGCCTGTGCCATCCCCTTCTCCCACTTTGTTCTTCCTGCACATGAGGAGCCTCTGATCCTTGGTAGGAGCAGAGTGTTCCCAGAGCCAGGGTCCACCAGGGTGAGAGTCCATTCCCAGGGAAAGGGCAGTGCCAGGTGCTCCAGGGAGAAGGGCCAGCCAGTGTGGGAGGTCATGCACTCCCCAGGGAAGTCCCCCTCCCAGATTTTCCCAGGGCAAATGCGACTTGGACCTGAAGTGGGAGAGTTAAAAACCCTTCCCAAAGCTCCTATGCACTTTCTAGGCTAGAGATCCTTTTCTTACCCAGATCACATTTACAAAGAGCATTTCAAGAGCACTCCTGGCTCCTTTCACATGGCCCACACTTGGTTCTGCTGACGCTGCTGAGTGGATTTAGGTGAGTGAGAAGGGCTTTTGAACATCCCCCTCTGAGCCAACAGAGATGTCTGGCTGGCTCCAAAGGGTTTTCCTTCCCCCTGAAGCACCAGCGTGGTGGAGAAGTGTGTTTCCCAGTGTTCCTTAGCTCAGTCACTGCCAGAGCACTGAGGTTGTTCTTGTTTGAGAAGGAGAGGGACAGAATCCAAACGTGTCCTGAGAATGCAAAGTTATCTCCCCTGGATGCTGAGCACCTCGGGTACATTCCTGAGCATGCAAAGTGAACTGTAGACACAAGTTTGGGATAGTGCCCAGTTTTCAGGGGAGAAAAGCTTCGGGCAGAATAAATATTTACCAAATCAATTGACTTTTTTTTTTTTTTCTCCTTTCTCCCTGTTTGCTTTAGCTCCATGAGTAACCACTCTGTAATGACGCTTTACCCACTGCTCTCTGCCCCAGAGGGCTGGAGGCCACCAGGTTTCCAGCTGAAAACCCCTCTTGCTTTCAGGAGCTTTCTGCTGTGGTGATACCCATCAGGGCTGAGGCAGGGGGAGAGTTTGGGAGCAGGGCTTGGCTGCAGAGAACCCCACAGACTGTGGCTTTCCCTTGGGTGCTGTGCTGCTGCTGGGGCTGTGGGTGCAGTGTCCCCAGGGAACCCTCCTTACCTGGCATCTCCAAGGGCTGCCACGTTTCTCCCTCCTGCCAGGATCAGTCCTACACACACCACTGGGTTTTCAGCTCTCTCTTTGGTTCCTCCATGACCACCTCTCTCTGTGCTTTTCCTCTCCAGGTCTGAGAAGTGTGGTGTTTCTGAAAACTGTGAACCAGGTGAGGAATAATTCATTTTCTCTTGCAAAATGGTGATGTTGAGGGAAGGGCACCAGAGAGAGGTGCCTCCAAAGTAATGTGGACACGTGGCCCCAGTTACCTGGCTGCCCCACAGGACACTCCTCTCAGGATTTTATCCCCTTTTGGTAGATACAGAGAGGAAGGGTCTGACCCTGTGACCCTCCAGCTGGGTCCTGGGTACATAAATTGAAATAATGACACTTAGCATTGCATTTATAGCATGTACACAAGGGAAGTCTTTGATCTTGGAGCTTCCTGCTCCATAAAAGCCACCACAATCAGGTCACCGAGAAATCAGCAGTGCTGGTGCTCCGAGCACTGCCAAGTGAGAAGGAAACACTTTTCCTCAGGTTTAGGGGCTCAGACCCATTGAATCACCCCCTTGTCCTGCTCACCCCAGCTGCAAGCTGTGACTCAGCCCCTGGCAGTGCATCAGTCCCACCCTAAATGAGTGAAGTTGTCTGGAGATAAGAGGCAGCTGGGCTGAGCACCAGGTGCAGCATCACCCCCAGGGCAGCCCCTGCAGGGTGGCCAGGCTGGTGCAGCCTCCCTGCCTGGTGGGGGCTCAAACCAGGCTGGATTTTGCTGAGGTTCAGCTGTCCATGCCCTGGTGAGATGTGGATGGTGTGGTTGCCCCTCCCAGAGCACGGATCTGCTGAGGGGCTTCTGCCAACATGAGTTTGGGAGCATTAAAAATGCCAGGAGCACCCACTGGATATTGGTGACCTAGTTAGTTTTCAGTGAAGAAAGGCAGGAAACAAGCATGTCATGAGGGCACCAGCAGCCAGTCTGAGGGCACCAGCAGCTCCTGCCAGCTGAGCTGTTTGCAGAGGCCATGCCTGTGGGTGCCCTCTGGGAGCCTCCAGCCCATGGGCCTGATGCCACCTGGCCAAAGCCTTGTTGCTGCAGGATGCTCAGCTGGCACTGAAGTTCTGCCTGGCCAGGGTTTTCCTGCCCATGTTGGTTCCTGTTGGTGACTGCCTTTCCTTGCCTTTCCTGGATAGGTACCTCAGGAGAGCTGGGTGGGATCAGGCAGATCAAAATCGAGCCAGACGAGCTGGACATCATCCAGATCACCGTGCCAGGTGGGTGCTGGGGTGCCAGGGGGGTGCAGTGACCTCTCTGCAGGCAGGGCTGCCACGTGGCACCTGGGCATGCTGCTTTGAGGAGAGGTGTTTGTGGGATGTCTCCCAGCTTTGGAGCTCCCACCCTGCCTGTGCACTGGTGTATCTTCGCTGCAGGTCATTTTAAGGGTCATGTTGGGAACCAGTGGGTTTCCTGAGGGTAGTGCAGGGTGGTTTAGGGCTTGTTCCTGTTTCTTTCCTTCATCCCTGCTCTGTGTTGCCTGGAGAAGGGGAGCCTGGTTTGCTGCTTTCTTCACACGTGTGCTTGGAGGATCCCAGGTGTTCAGCACAAGCTGCTTTTGATGAGGTCCTTAATTTAGAAAAGCAGCCTGGTTATGAAGCCTGGGTGAGAACAGGTTTAATACTAAGCACTTGCTGTAAATGTGTTGGAGTTGGTGGTGCTGATGCATTTCCCCAGGTTTCTGCCCAGAGAGGTCAGTGGTGATGGAGATGGGCAGTTGGGTGCCTGAGGGGCAGCTGGGAGAGCCTTCTCCCAGTGACCTGATCTGGACAGTGATAGGATGATCCCCAGGGTTTCACGAGTGGATAGTTAGCACTTCACATTTCCAGTGTGCTTTACAAACATGAATTAATAATCTCACTGGAAGGAGGGCAGCAGCAGGGCTCCCAATGTGCCCCAGGGCGGGCGATGCTGAGGACAGACGTGACACCCAGCCCCACCAGTGCCATCTCTGCTGCACCCAGCATTCCCCTTCACACAGTGATATCTGGGGTGTCACTCCAGGGTTATCACAGAATGAACTTAATATAGGGGAAGGAAAAGGAACAAGGTACAGCAGTAGATCAGAATATTTTAATTTTCAGCTTGGCAGCTAATGGAAGAGAGGAAAGTTAATACCTGGTGAGCTGGTGGTGCCTGTGAGGAGGAGGAGGAGGTGTTATCACTTCTCCAGTGCTGGGTAGATCACACTTCAAGTTCAGAGTCCACCTTTTTTCACCTTATTTGAAGATCAAGTTCAACCAGAGGGAACACAGCTGAGGGCAGGGGGGGGATTAATAGGAAAGAGGAGCTCACCTTACAGGGAGAAACTGATGAAATTTGGATTATTTATCCTGCGAGGTGGTGATTAAGAAGTGACCTGATTTAAGTGTTTAAGCTAGCTGAAGCTAAATTTGGATGGCACTTGGAGGGTGTTGGAGAGCCCAGCATTAGGGGAGAAGGGTTTAAATGAAGAGGACATGCAGGTTACATAAGGGAAACACAAGGAGGTGTGATTCTGGGGAGGAAGGCAGCATTAGTGGAATGGTTTTCCCACAGTGGAGTAGCTAAGCTAGGCAGCATTAACTATTCAAGCCAGAATTGAGTGTCTAGGTGGAATGAAGCCAAGTCAGTTGTTTTGAACTGTTTTTGCCCTTCACCTTCCACTGGGGTTAGGAAGAAACTTTGGCTCATCTCCCTCAGGCTGAGGGGTCAGGTGCGTTGCAGGGATGAGATCCCGGGATGGAAGAGGGGAGATGCACCCTGGAGCAGCCCGTGGTGCCTGGGAGTGGAGGGGGTTCCTTCTCTCAGCCTTTGCTGATGGGTCAGGACCCTTTGAGCCCTGTTTTGGGGACAGTGGCCCCATCATGCAGACATAAGCAGCCCCTGGGGTTTTCTCTGCAGACCGATCGCCGGGCTCGGACGAGATCCGCGACCCTGTGCCCGCGCACACGGAGGAGTCGAGCTACATCCTGGAAACAGCAGCAGGTACCAGAAATGGAGTGTCCAGGAGGCTTCTCAAGGGCACAGGAGGAGGTGCCTCTGTCAGAGATGAGTAAATCACATTTATGAGCCAAAGTGGTGGAGTCAGGACCCCCTGGCAGAGTCGTGGCCTCCGTCAGACCAGCTGGGAGCTCTGATAGACAAACTCTGGTGGCTTTTCCAGCACCATTGCTCCTTCCCAGCTGCTCTCTAGCCCCAGCTCACTGCAGACCCCAGCTCATGACTGGGATTTACCCTTCATTTGGGGGGATTTGTGCCAGTGCTGCAGCTGCCCTCCCTCGTGCCAAGTGCTGGGTCTCATCTCTCCCAGGAAGCCCACTCCAAAGGGATGTAGGTGATGGGTTTATTCTGGCATGATGCTGCCAGCCCCAGTCTACTCTGGGGGTGTGTGCTCAGAGCTTAGTGAGGGGAGGGGGTGGTTGGGTGACTGCAGGGGACTCAAAGACCTGCTGCTTCTGTCTAGTCCAGTTTTGCTAACACTGGCCACCCCTAACCCTCCTCTTCCTCACAGGAACAGAGAAGGGGTCCAGCGAGGAGTCACGACACGAGGAAAAGCAGGTGGAGGGATCAGGTGAGTGTACAATGAACTCTGGGCATCACCTCATGATTGCAAGTTCTTGGAAGATGGATGGAAACAGATGTATTTAGGGTTGGGTGTCCTGGGCTCCCTTATCAGCAAAGCATTCAGCCTTGGAAAAGCCCAGTGTGGAAGGGCACTGTCCTTTCCTCTCTTGCTGGGTTTGACTTTTTTCTCCGTATTTTTTCGTCCTTGCTCCTAGCACCTCCTTTTTTTTCCCTCCTTGCTTGCTTGATACACCTCTGTGCAGGTGCATCACTGCCCTTCCTTGCTCAGGAATGAGCTTGGAGGCAGCTGCTGGAGGACCAGCACCCATCTGGGAGGTGTGAAGAGCACATGGGCCAGTTCTGCCAGAGAGGTCAGGGGCTGCTCACCTCGCTGTGCGTTGCTTGCCCCAAAGGCAGCTGGTTTCTCAGAGCATTTCTCTCTTTTTTTTTTTTTTTTTTTCTTTTCTTTCTCTTTTGCAGATGGTATAGGGGACGTTTTAAGTCATTTGAGGAAACAAGTTGAAATTTTGTTCAACACGAGATACGGTGAGATGGTCGTTAACACCCGCTCATCGTGCCGAGTGCCGGCCCCTGCCCTGGGGAGCTCCTAATTGCTCAGACATGTCACCTGCTATTTCCAAATCAGCAGCTGAGTAAAGGTGCAATCTAATTTGTTCATTTGCTGTCTGCTGAGCTTACAAATGCATTTGAAATCTCCCTGGGCCTAGTTAGTGCAGCTCTTCTCCTTGGTTTCCTTGATACCTCTTTGCCGGCTGCAGCCCAGGAATTGCTCCGTCACCTTCAGCCTTCAAGGGCCAAAGTGGTTCCCTACATCACTTGTTTGAAACATGAGAGAGGGTTTTTCACCCACGGGAGTCATGGCATGGCCATGGTGTGACCCTGGTGCTGGGGCTGGCACTTGGCATGCTCTGCTCACCCCACTTTAGAAAGGTCATTTGACCCAGCTCTCACCAACATCCCACGTTGCTGCTGCTTTGACCCAACGTGGAGGTGCAGCAAACTAATGAGATTGGTTCCCCACACAGCGAAAGCCATAGGAATATCAGAGCCAGTCAAAGTTCCCTACTCCAAGTTCCTGATGTACCCTGAGGACCTGTTTGTTGTGGGCTTGCCAGAGGGCATCCTGCTGCGGCGCCCCAACTGCTTTGGGATTGCAAAGCTGAAGAAGATCTTGCAGGCGAGCAACAACATCCAGTTTGTCATTAAAAGGTAAAGGAAGGTGGAGTGACCATCCCTTGGGAAGGATGTTCCTGCTTGGAGCTCCTGCTCTGTGCAGTGTCCTGGGGAACATCCATCACTTGGTCACCTTTGATAGATTTCCTTGATGAGAAGCAACCAAGGGTTGTTGCCATGTTGGAGCCATCCCTGACAGGAGGTGGTTGTGATGGTGTCATCTCTCCCTTGAGGTTTTTTGGGCTTTTTAACCCAGTTTTGCGAAGGTTTGGCTGCAGCAGCAGGGAGCACCCAAAGGTGGGTGAAGGAGCCAGAGGCTTTAACCTTCAGGGTGCTCAGGTGTGGGGCAAGGAGAGGGGCTGGAAGCCCCAGCGGTTTTTCCCATGGGAAGCAGCTCCAGCTGAAGTCCAGCTGTACACATGGGATTCTGTGGATATCAGGGAAGATGCTGTCCTTGTGCTGGGGACAACAGCACTGCCCTGAAAGGGGGAATGGATCCAGCAGAGATGCATTTAAAAATGTCTTTAGGTATCTTGGGGTGTTTCTCACCCAAATGCTGACTTGACCTCCTCTACAGAGTAGAGAGCTGACCCGAGCAATGCAGAGGTCATAGCATTGGGAGTGCAGAGATTTTGTGGCATCAGACCAGCAGCTCCCAGGCCAGCCTGACCACACTTTGGGGTTTCTCCTGTCCCCATCCCGGACCCGTCTCCCTGTGGCACAGCTTCAGTGTGGCTTGGCATGAGCCCTGCTGGCACCTCCCTGCAGTTTTACCATCGGATACCCAAGTGATGATTTCTGGGGCAAGCTGTGTGTTGAGAGGAGCCATGCATGTCTTCTCCCATCCCTGAGAAAGGTGCAGGGCCTGTCTCTCCTAAAAGTCTGTAGCTGCTCAGCCATCACCAACCTAACCTCACCCTGGCAATCATCACATTTGACTCACTTAAGAATCTATCAACATGAAAACTATTCTCAAAGTTCCCCCGCTGCGTCACAGGAGCTTTACTGACCAGACAGATCTGGTGAGCTGTGGCTGAAGGAGAATTGTCCAAGGGGATGCTGGAGCTGCAGGGTGTTGCTGGCCAGGGAGCTCACTCAGGTGCTCTCTGCTTCTCCCTGTTTTCCAGGCCGGAGCTGCTGGCAGAGGGCATGAAGGAGCCGGCGTCGGACAGCCCGGCAGCCAAAGGACGCCCGGCAGCCGGGCCCTTAAGGACTAGGTAGGAGAGGAGTGAGAGCATTTTCCTACAGTGTGACTCTTGCCTGCCCTCCCCACCTCGTTTTTTTTTTGGCTGGAAACCCCCTCCTGTGTGTCCCCTCTGGGTGACACCACGAATCCTAATTGTTCTCTGTCCTCTGTCTCAGCCGCCGGCGAGAGGGAGTCGAGCGAGGCGCTGCTGGAGGACGCTGTGAAGAGACAGGGCTTCCAAGGTGAGGGGCTGGAAGCAGCTGGGGGGGGTTGAGGCAGAGCCCCGTGCCTGTTGTGAGGGTTGCTCAGACCAAACAGATGTGGGAAGGGAGCAGCTGTGGGTTTCAGGGCTTGGTGGGTTGGCAGAGGAGGTGGGGTGAGAGGATGGGAAGGACAGGCAACCAGAAGGCAAGATGCAGAGCTGGGCTGGGCAGTCCCGTAGGTCCAAGGAAGATGCTTGAACTGCCCTGGATGGTGCCCTAATTAACCAGCTTTGCTTATCTCACCATCTGCCCTTGTGAAATGCATAATTAAGTCTTCCAAGCCTCAGAGTTGGCCTTTTCTGGGGCTTTTTCCACCCGAGAGATGTTTGTGTGAAGTGCCTCTCCTGTCCTGCACGGCGCGGCCGTCGGAGGAAGGAGCAATGGTGAGAAGATTATGGACCTGGGAACAAGTTCTGCCCGACTCAAGCAGCCCTTCCCTTGGGCCTGTGAGGGTTTGCAGAGAAGGACAGAGGCTTTTCAAAAGCTTTGGCTTTTCAGAGAGGCTCTGGAGTGTGTTTTATTTCAACACCGCTAATTATCGCAACCAAAATCTTCGATTTCATGCAGCTTTTTATTCTCAGCAAACAGGCTGGGGGGGAACACACATATTTCTGTTGAGCTGATTTTTTTGTGTGTGTGAAGGGCTTTGAATGGCCCACTCCAGAGATTAGCTAATTGCAAGATAAGGACTTTCCTATAATTAGAAAATGGCATTACTTAAAAGTCACCGAGTGCCTTTTAATTTACCAGCAGAAGCCCGTAATTGTTTCTTTCTTTTACAGAAAATTATGATGCCAGGCTCTCCAGGATAGACATCGCAAACACGCTGCGGGAACAAGTCCAGGATCTGTTCAATAAGAAATATGGTGAGAAACCAGGGTGGGAGTTGATTTTAATCCCCCCTTTTACCCCCTCCCGAATGTTTCGCTCCCTCTCCTCTCAGTTTTTCCTGCCGGGTGATTTCTCTCTCCTCCCCCTTCCCACTTGTTGCAGCTGGTGGGGCTGTGGAGGGAGCAGTTATGGATGGGAATGTGTTCTCCTTCCTGTGGAGGCAGCTCCTGTGCACCACAGTGGGGACAGTGCTGCAGCCCCTTCTGCTGCTGGCCCTACTTGGCCACCTTTTGATGGGCTCTTGAACCCCCTCTCCGTGAAGAACATTCATTAGTAAAGAAAAACACCATGTACCAGTCCAGGTTGGGGGCTGAGCTGCTGGAGAGCAGTGTAGGAGAAAGGGACCTGGGGGTCCTGGTGGATAGGAGGATGCCCATGAGCCAGCAATGTGCCCTTGTGGCCAAGAAAGCCAAGGGCCTCCTGGGGTGCATTAGAAAGGGGGTGGTTAGTAGGGCAAGGGAGGTTCTCCTCCCCCTCTGTTCTGCCTTGGTGAGGCCACATCTGGAATGTTGTGTCCAGTTCTGGGCCCCTCAGTTCCAGAAGAACAGGGAACTGCTGGAAAGAGCCCAGGGCAGAGCCACAGAGATGCTGGAGGGAGGGGAACATCTCCCTGCTGAGGAAAGGCTGAGGGAGCTGGGTCTGTTGGGCTTGGAGAAGAGGAGACTGAGGGGCCACCTCATCCATGGGCACAAATATGTAAAGGGTGAGTGTCAGAAGGACAGAGCCAGGCTTTGTGCAGTGATGTCCAGGGACATCAGGACAAGGGGCAATGGGTGCAAACTGGAGCACAGGAGGTTCCATGTGAATCTCAGGAAGATGTGGGAGGTTGGGAAGGGAATAATGAGGGATGTAGTGAGAACTCGAAGGAGTGTTGGGGGATGAGTAGATGCTGCTCCTCCTGTCCCCAGGACACTTTGCAGTGCTCCACAGGGTCATCCCCTAGCCTGCCTGCCCCTGTGTCTGTTCTTTATCAAGCAAGGTGTGGTGTTGGTGGGTCTGATTTAGGGGAGAACTTTGTGGAGCAGGGATGATGGTTGGACTCAGTGATCCCAGGGGGCTTTTCCAACCTGAGAAGTTCTATGATTCTAAGGCAGGGAAATGCTGTTATCCCCATTTTCTAGGCAAGGGTAGGACACGTGCAGGTTTCCAGGTTCCTGCACAGCCAAGGAAATGTATAGCCTCAGCCCTGCAGCCAGACCTGAGAGACTGTGGAGAGACTGCCAGACCTCACATGACTGTGAAGTTAACTCCAGATAATGTCCCACAGCAAAGAGAACCTTTCCACCCCTCCCTTTTCACCCCTGCATTGCGTGGGTCTCATCCCACAGCACAGTGTGGGTCTCCTCAGCCCCACCAGCTCTGCTGTGGCCTGAAAAATGTTGGTCCTTGATCAAACTCCTGTGCTGCCTGGAGCTGCCTGCTCTTGCCATGCTGCGATGGGGCCAGGGATGGAGCCAGAGCCAGGGCAGATCCCAGGCATCCCGGACGCTACCTTCCTCACTTTTCTCCCAGGTGAGGCCTTGGGGATTAAATACCCTGTGCAAGTGCCATACAAACGGATCAAGAGCAATCCAGGATCAGTGATTATAGAGGGGCTGCCCCCTGGCATTCCCTTCAGGAAGCCCTGCACCTTTGGCTCCCAAAACCTGGAGAGGATCTTGGCCGTGGCCGATAAAATCAAGTTCACCGTGACAAGGTGGGTGGTGAGAGGGGAGGAGGAGGGAGCCCACCTTAAACACACCCCGTGGGGCAGGGCTGTAAGGACTACAAATACCTCCTCCAACCCCCAAGAGTGCAATTAAGTTGGCAGCTAATGAGTGGACAGAAAGGAGGAGACCATGAAGTAGAGACTCTTGCTCTTGCCTCCTGACTCTGCTGGGGGAGGTGGTGGGGTTGGCACCCGTGGGAGAAACTGTGGCCTTCAGTACAAGGGCTGTGTGGGCAGAGAAATCCCAGCCCCTTTTCTAGGAGACAGGAGAAACGTTGGTGGGTGTTTTTGGTGGTGCAAGGGCAATGCTCAGGGTCCCACAGCACCCAGAGAGGTGCCGGGTTTCCGGGGGACCCTGTGGGTCTTGCAGCCAAAGGGGATGGATGCAGGTGGGGAGAGGAAGGGCACTTTAACACTGTACCATGGTCAGGTGAGACAGGGAAAAATTGGGTTCTAAGAGTGGTTCCATTCCCCTCTTGTGGGGTCACACTGCCTGTCTTCTTACCAACATGCTGGGAGGGTGTCCCTGTGTCCCTGTCCCTGCAGAGCACGTGAGGGACAGGCTGGTTCCTTAACCCTCCCTGGGCCATGGCAGGAGGCTGGAGCCAGGGTGTTGGCTTCCCAATGGCATTCCATTTTCATTCTTTTTCCTGATTTTTTTGGTTTACAGGCCTTTTCAAGGACTCATCCCCAAACCTGGTAAGAGATGATGCCTTTTTTCCCTAAGCAATGCATGGGCCAAGTGTGTGGTGGTGGTCAGGGATCTGCAGGCTGCAGATGATGTGCAGTAATTTTATCAGCTGGAGGAAGGTTGCCCTTGACTTCACTTTCCTGGGCTTCCCACTTTGGTTTGGTTGTGGTTTGGGGCACTTACTGAGGTTCCCCTGGCCAAATCAGCTGATCTTAGCATCACCCCTTGGTCTAGATGCTGTTGCCTTGAAATAACAGTTTTATAAGAGCTAATCTAGGGCAGGGACCTGTGGTTTGGATTTTTAAAAGTGCTGGTTTTCTTAAAATAAATAAGTGTTGCAGTGAGCTGGTGGGTTCAGTGGTGAGGGAGGGTTGTGGGAAGGGGATGATTAACCACAGGGTCTGCACTGGGCTGCAGCAGCTTGGCAGTGAAAAGCCTCTCTGGCTTGTGGGCAATTCCATCTGTGGATACACCAGGGAAAATGTGGGAGAAGAGAGGATGGGATGTCCAGGGTGGGCTCTGCACCCTGCTGTAGAAACCACCTCCCTGGAGCCACGTCCTTCCCCCTGTGTCACTGTAGAGCTCTGTGTCTTGCTTCTAGGCTGCCCAGAAAAGAGAGCTGCTTTTAGAATCGTGGGTGAAAAACCTGTCTGGGTTTTAAATGTCTGTGATGATGAGTGTTGGAAGAGCACAGATGGGTGCAAAGAAAGTTGTCTTTATTGATGGTTTCCCATTTCCTTGGCCCTGCTCCACGGGGAGGGCCCAATTTAGGGAAGACAAATAGGACAGAGAGGAAAACATTTGTATGCCCTCGTTGGGAACAGCCAAGAGGTGTTGGCTGCCCAAGAGGGCTCTAGCAGAAGTGGAGATGTCAGGGAAATTCAATCCAGGGCACAGTCCGAGTGTCATCCTGCCCTCTGCATCCCTGTGGGTGGTCCAGCCAAGTCCATGAGAGCTCCCCTGAGACCTCCATGGACCTGGGCCAGCTGTATCCTGGGCTGCATCAAAAGGAGTGTGGCCAGCAGGTTAAAGAAGGGGATTCTCCCCCTCTACTCTGCCCACCTGGAGAACTGTATCCAGTTCTGGAGCCCCCAGCACAGGGAGGACATGGAGCTGTTGGAGCAAGTCCAAAGAACAGCTGTGAAGATGATCCCAGGGCTGGAGCAGCTCTGCTCTGGAGACAGGCTGGGATAGTTGGGGTGTTCAGCCTGGAGAAGAGAAGGCTCCAGGGAGACCTTAGAGCAGCTTCCAGTGCCTGAAGGGGCTCCAGGAAAGCTGGGGAGGGGCTTGGGACAAGGGCAGGGAGGGAGAGGACAAGGGGGGATGGACTGAAACTGGAAGGGGGGAGATTTAGGTGAGACATGAGGAGGAAATTCTTTGCTGTGAGGGTGATGAGACCCTGGAACAGGTTGCCCAGAGAAGCTGTGGCTGCCCCATCCCTGGCAGTGTTGAAGGGCAGGTTGGATGGGGCTTGGAGCAACCTGGGCTGGTGGGAGGTGTCCCTGCCCATGCAGGGGGTTGGGACTGGATGTTCTTTAAGGTCCTTTGCAACCCAAACCATCCTGTGATTCTATTACCTGGGCCCTAGACTACCCATCTTGGTCCTAAGCAACAAGGTGCCAGCTCACAGCAGCTGGACCTTAAATAAATCTGTGGTGAAGTGCAAGTTTTGCAGAGCTCTGGTTTTCCATGGCATGATGTGCCTGTCACCCTGGAGTGAGCCAAGGATGTATCTGCTCCTCCCACCATCGCTCCTTCCCCTTCTTCTGTACCCGGGATAATCACGTTAAGAGACATTGATCTGACACAAATCACCCCACTAACAAAGGAGCACATCAGAAGGCAAATACTTCACCCTGCCAGCTGGCTTGGAAACACAGCCCTGATGGATAGAGATGTACAGGAAAATTGATTTTCTCTTTGATGCACAACATTTTTTTCCCCTCCTCCTCCAGCTGCACGTTCCCACCACGGGCTGCCCTGCACTAGCACCAACCCAGAGCCCTATTTTTCTCTGGATATTGTGGTACCTGAGTAGGAAGGAATTGTAGCATCCCTGCTGGGCTCAGGGCTGGGCTTTAAAACACAGGGTTTTAAATAAGAGCAGTGGCAGGTGAGGGGTTTTTCTTACTTGGCATCTCAATGTATTATAGACTATGTTGTATATTTGTTAAATCTTTGGAGACAATTCCAGGATTTTGAAGTATTTCTAAGAGTCAGACTATCCCTGTGGAATGTCTCCTTGGGAAAAAAGCTATTTGGAGGTTCTGAAGGGGCTCCAGGAAAGCTGGGGAGGGACTCTGGACAAGGGCAGGGAGCGAGAGGACGAGGGGGAATGGATTGAAACTGGAAGAGGGGAGATTTAGGTGAGACATGAGGAGGAAATTCTTGAGTGTGAGGGTGCTGAGACCCTGGCCCAGGTTGCCCAGGGAAGCTGTGGCTGCCCCATCCCTGGCAGTGTTGAAGGGCAGGTTGGATGGGGCTTGGAGCAACCTGGGCTGGTGGGAGGTGTCCCTGCCCATGCAGGGGGTTGGAACTGGATGATCTTGAAGGTCTCTTCCAACCCAAACCAATCTATGATTTTCCACCCCATTCCACCAAAGGGGATGGTGGCAACACGGTGGCCCAGTCACTGCCTTGGCCTTGATCACTTTTCACCTGCCTTAATAAAATGAATGATGTCCAACCAGTCATAGATCATTCAAAGAATTAAATTTCAGAGTGTTCTTTTTCCCTCAGTCTCGTGTAGCAAAGTCTTGCCATGGAAAATGAAGAGCAGCAGCAGAAGGGCATGCTTGGCATTAAAAAGAAAATCAAGGAAAATCACTTTTATTTTGCAGAGGAGCATTAAAATGAAAGTTACTCCCAAGCAGGATGGCATTGCAAAGGTGTCTATAAAAGCTGGAAGGCCCAGGAGGTGACTGCTTAAATATCCAGGAGGTTATGGTATTTTGTGCCTCATTTTGGCCAAAAAAATGGCACAAAGAGCCACATTTTAAGGGAAATTTCATAAAATATTAAAAAAAGAACCACTATGGGGTGATTTTAGTTGCCTTTAGGTTAAATTACAGGGTGTCATTTGCTTTAAACAAGTTGTGCACCTTCTGAATTGCAAGGAGCAGCCCAGATAACTGCTGGGTGGTGGAGGACTGGTCTCCTTATCTCTCTTTTGGGGACACCCATTTTTTTTATTTTTGAAGTGTGACAGGAAGAGATTAAATGGTTTCAATATAATCTGAGTGCCAACCATGCTTTTCCTGAAGATTATCTGGAGTTTCTCTATCGAAATGGTATCTCCCCCCCTTAACGGGTCTCAGTGGGGGGGTGAGGCTGCTGGTGCAGAGCTGGCTGGGGGATGTGTGGCTGCAGGGATGCTGTTTGCAGAAGATGGTGGGTTTCTGGGGGGGATGAGGCTGGGTTTTTTTGGAAGAAGAAAGCTGGTGCTGCTGCCCAGCACCCAGAGAAGGTCAGTGGCTGCAGCCACTTTCAGCACTGAGGATTTGGAAGGTGGGACAATGGCCCCGAGGTCACTGGTATCTCTGCCAGAGCTTTACCCTGGTGGGTTCCCAGGGGCTTTGACCCAGGAGCACAACCCCTCCTGGCATCCAGAGATTTTCCTTTTGATTTCCAATTTCTTTTCTTCCCACTCCTGGTCTCTGCTCTACCAAAAAAGACCTTCCAAACCCCTTCTCAAAGTAGAACATTCTCTTGGCATTAAAACAGAAGCGGGAGAGCAGGGGTGAAGCTCCAGTGCTATAAACACAGCACTTACCCTTTCTTTTCTTCTTTTTCTGAGGCACAGAGATACAAAACAGGCTTAATTTGAGCCTTTGAAAAGAAAAAAACCAATGTATGTATCAAGCATAAGCAATCTTGCACATACACAAAAAGTCTTTCTGTATGTTAATTTTTATGTGCTTTGATTGAAAATTTACAGCAGCTCCATCTGTCCTATTCCCCAAACTCCCTACCACCCTGATAGATTATTTCCCATACTCCAATTAATAAAGTAGGGCAGGCAGTGTTCTTTAATTAAAAAAAAAAAAAAAGAAAAAACCCCACCACACATCCAGGCATCCTTTTCATATCTATATATTTATTTTGTTTAAATCACAAGAGCACAATCCTCCGCGAGACTTTGATGAGCTGTGCCTGGTGTTGGAAACTCCTAGCAAGATAAAAAGAAGAGAGGAAAGTGCTTGATGAGGCAGTGATGGGAGCTGAGGCATCTTGTTCCATCACCAGGTTGCTTTTTTTGAGGTCCAAGTCCCTCTCCCTTCACCCCCCTCCCAGCCCTGATGTTGAACCCCTGTGGGAGCAGCTGGGTTGTTTTTCCTCCTGATCCGCTTTGCTGTTACCTGGGGTGAATTCTTTCTTTAGTGCTCAGCTGGTCAGTGTTTCTAGATGGAGAATCAAGCAGGTACCATGAGTAGATCTGGAGCTTCAAAGCCTCTTTTTAAGCACCTCTGGGATTCCAGTCACCTTTTTCTTGACCCAGTTTTTGTTTCTTTTTCCCTTTCACCTGCTTGTGTGGGATCCTCGTTCCAACGGGAGGGCATCACCATTGCCCTGCTCGTCCCAGCCCTTGTGTTTGCTTTGGTTTTGCTTCCCTGCTGCTCCCAGCCAGCCTTGTACCCAGTCTCGTCCTACAGAGGCCCCAAACCCCCTTTTTTCAGGGTGCTCATCCAGATGAGTGCTGCTCCACCCAGCTCTGACCCTGCACTTGGGGATGTGCTGGGACCTGTGCTGCCGCGAGCCTGGTGGGCTGCCTCCCGTGGCTGAGGCTGAGCAGCACATCTGGGTCACCAGGGCAAGAAATTTTAATTATCTTTCTTAATCAGTGTGATTTCATAATGGTACCTTGAAATCTTCACCTGAAGTGCTGAGAATGCCTGTGAGTTGCAGCCCACTGGGCCGAGCGCTGCCCTGCCCTTCTGAAACCATTTCTGCTCCGTGTGGGACCGATGCTGCCGTGTGCTCCTCATCCTCACTGTGTGCTCCTCTTCCT